GCAGCGCGTGCCCCAGCCATGTAAGCTTGCATCCAACTCTATTATCATATCTGGCGTGGAACCGAAGATCGCCCGTCCGTTCCACGCTTCCATGTGGATTAACCACCAGTGCAGTTCCTCCTTGGATTCTTCGTCCAGAGTGATGTTGGATTCGTACGACTGACCTTTCCTTAGGCAAGATGCTTTTAGGCGTTGTAGCGCCCGATAGTGGAGTGGTCCCGGGAAGATCGCCTGTATGGAGGCCGCTAGTAAGCCTATTACCTGAGCCAGTTGTCTTAGAGAAATGTCCGGACGGTTCATTAACCTCCTGATCTCCTTCTTGATGTTGGACATCTTGTCCGAAGGGAGGCACAGGATTTGTCGTACAGAGTCGACTCGGAATCCTAGGAATTCCATCTGTTGAGAGGGTTGTAGCACCGATTTTTCCCAGTTTACCAGGAAACCGAGGTTCTGCAGGAGGTGAAGGGTCCACGACAGGTGCGACAGTAGAAGGGATCGTGTCCCAGACAGTATGAGGATATCGTCCAGATAGATAATGAGACGAATACCGTGTAACCTGAGGAATGCAACCACTGGTTTCAGCACTTTCGTAAAGCACCAGGGAGCGGAGGATAGACCGAAAGGAAGGCAACGGAAGCGCCATTTCTTTGTGCCCCACTGGAATTGTAGCAGATTCCTGTGTGTTGGCGTTATCGGGATCGTGAGATACGCATCCTGTAGATCGAGTTTCACCATCCAGTCTCCTGGGAGAAGGAGGTCTCGGAGGCAGTGTATGCCCTCCATTTTGAAATGCCGATATTGTATGAAGGCATTGAGGGGTCTTAGGTTGATAACCGGGCGGACACCCCCGCCTTTCTTTGGCACTAAGAACAGGTTGCTTATAAAGCCTGGGGTATCTAGAGGGATTTCCTCTATGGCATTTTTGCTGTGAAGGGCCTCTATCTCCGTGGAGATGAGGTAGTGGTGAGACTGAGGCATGCGTGGCACATGTGGAAGAGAATCCTGAAAAGGCAGACTTGTCAGTTCTAGGTGGTAACCCTTTACAGTCTGTAGCACCCAACTGTCGGACGTGATAGTGGCCCAAGTCTGAGAAAACAAAGCCAGTCTGCCCCCCACATTTACATGGGAAAAATGGGGAAATATCGTACTCACCATAAGGGCGTTTTCCTGGGGTTGCTCCTCTCCCGCCACGGGAATTCCAAGATCTTCCTCGAGAAGGGAAGAACGGAGTATAGGAACGTTCCTGGTTTTGCCTCTGTGTGTTGAAGGAGCCTCTGCCCGGTCTGGAGAAACCTCGGGGGTTGCGGCCGGGTAGACGGCTCCTACCTCTACTGGCCCCACCGAAAACCTTTTGGTGGAAGACCCTTTTAATGGATGATTGGGCCTTATCCAGAGCCGTGAAGGTTTTGACATAGGAGCCCCGGTCTTTGACGAAGGATTCGCCAAACAACAGACCTTTAGCCGCGGCCCCTGGTTCAGAGGAGGCCATGCTAGCCAGCTTGGGCTCAATTTTTATCAGGATGGCCTTCCTGCGTTCCATTGACATGGCAGTATTGGCATTGCCGGTCATGCAGGCCAAGCGTTGGAGCCAGCCAAACGCCACCTCAAAGTCCAATGGTGCCTCACCCGACTGAGCTGCTTCCAGCAGTTCATACAGTTTAGTGACAGGACCCAGGGTGTCTAGGAACTTGTCCTGACAGTTTCAGAGGGAGTAGTCCAGACCCCTCTTAGACTTCCAGCCGGTTTTGGCTAGAAACTGGGCTATCTGAGGGTCCACTTCTGGGGTTTTTGCCACAGCATCAGGAATTATGGGTCGGGGGCATTCTGCTCTCAACTTATTACGGCTTTCTTGAGAAAGGGACTTACGTACCCTGAGGGCCAGGTATCGGGCGATGTGTTCGGAGGGTTCCCACTCAGCAGAGCGTGGGTGCCTTAAGTTGTCAGGGTCAAATAGCGGAACCTCTTTAGGGTCGTGGGCTGCTTCCGCCTCGGGCGCCCCTGAATGTGCAGAGGCACGTGTAGGCGTCAAGGGGAACTGCTTTCCCTGGAGGCTATCACCCTCTGAGAGCTCGTCCTCGTGCGGGTCAGAGTACGGGGCGTCTGACCCCTCATCCCCCTCCTCGTCTGAGTCAGACAGTATATCATGGGTTCTAGCCCGTTTCCAGTCTCTGGTAGCCGTAGCTCGCCCAGAAGCTCTATTGCGCGGTTGTTGCGCGCCATCATGGACAGCCTGAGGCATGTCAGTCAGAGCAGGGTCAACCTGCATGGGGGGGGGGTCTTGTGAATGTCTGCGTTTGGTTAACGCTTTGTGGCCTGGCAGCCTCCCTTCAGGAGGGGTATGGGTCAAGGCAGGGGTAGAGTGAGGTTGTACCTGTTTAAGCGCTTGCGTGATAGAGTCCGAGATGGTAGAGGACATCGCGCCCATGGCTGAAGATATGGCCTTGGAAATAGATTTGGACATGGTGGTGTCCAGAAGGCATTGGAATTCCTCAGAGCCCATGAGCCCAGGGTCAACCTGGGGGTCAGGATCAGTAATGGCCATAGAGGGGCTATGCTTGCCAGGTAATTTATCACCAGATTGCATGGTAGATAATAGAGTGCAAGTGAGAAAATAACAAATAGAAAAGATAATAAAGTGAAATGCAGAATACTAGGATTGAGTAACCCAGGTACAGGATGGAAAGTACAGGGAGATGGAAGGTAACTCCAAGCAAAAGTATATAGACAAACTGTACTAGTAGGAGGGCTGCAGGAATGAAATCCGGCGTGAGAGGGACAAAAAACGACACAATACCGGGTACAGAAAATGGCCGCCGCCTAAACCGGCGACCAGAAACCAAAAAAATGGCCGCCGCGAGCTACCGCGCATGCGCGTTGCTCGCGAGCGGCGGAAACTAAAGTGTAGGGAATCGCCGCGCGGACGAAAGTAGGTCCGGCCGGCGGTGCCGCAAATAGTGCCAGGAAGTGCCGCGGGGGTGACGATGGGCCCCCCGGCGAAAACCCGGCAGAGTGTGACCGGGGAGGGAGCCCCAACCGGAGGGGGGGCGGGAGGGAGGGAAAAAACAGCGAATCCCCAGGGAAACAGAGGGAAACCGGTCACACCAGAAACAATGACAGGGCACAGCAAGAAATAGAAAAAACAGAGTGAAAGAAGTGGGAAAAAAGGGGGGATAAACAGAAAAGAATATCCCCACAGCAATACCATATATATATACAATAATCTAATAAATATATAATATATAATATCCTCTAAAATCATCCCACAGAGCACACCATGGAAATAATAATATGAGAGTGTACTAATCTTCTGAGGGAGCAGCGAAGAAAGAGGAAGAAGCATGGAGTGCTACACCTTATATACTAAGGGGGTGGATACCTATGATAGCACTGTTCTATATGCTAATGTTATTTGTTCTTTTTTCTCTCTTTTGCATATATCTCTCTTCGCTGCTGAGGGAGAATTAAAGAAAGAGAAGCATAATAGGAGCCTCCGTGTTTTTAATAAAATTCTTGCCTTTCACATTCTGCTTTTCTGACCATCATGAATGAGATCAAATATTAGTTTCCTCCCCAAAATTGACACTAGCTTCAGAGCTAGTCTTGATTCCCTTGATTAATCCAATGAAGAAACAAGGTAACAGAATCGACAACATATCTTAAAGTATTTCATACGTTGATTTTACTTTATCAAGAGTTCCGAAAAATACGAACAACTTGCAACTAGGAGAAAGGTAAGGTATAGGTGAAAGAAGAGGCCACTTTTGAGAAAAATAAAACTGATTATGTATTTATGCCATGAATCTGTACAGTTGTCGTTGGAATATACTTCATTAGACAACAAGCCAGTATTTTACTATAGGATTTGAAGTCCAACAGCTGGAAAAATTGGCAGTTAGAATAACAGATACAGCAAATGTAAAGGACCAAGCAGGATATGTAATTCAAGAAGAGATGATGAAAAGGTGAACTATAATGTCTGATCTGAAAACCAAGGAAATCTCATCATAGGCCTGTCAAATATCTATTTACACTTGTAATTTATCAGAAGGGGGCCAGGCAAGAAACTTTATTGTCCATGCACAGTTGACAAGCCTTAAAACCAGTGTTTACTACAATAAAATAGCATTGCCTCTTGCATTTAGAAAGATGACTTTTCTAAGTACTTTTGGAATTCAACCTATGAAGTGTCTTAACTACAAGTAATCTTTTATCAGCCGCCAACTGTTAATATATCCTCCACTGATATCAATGCACCTGTTTCTACTTCTATAGAATATATTTTTTTTTGGTAGTTTACTGCCTAGTTCCTCCTAAAGAGTGATTTTATGTCCAGTGTAGTTTTTTATTTTTGCTTTATTTATGGTCTTGTATTTTACCTTTATTTAAGATCTTATATTTTACTTTTGTATCTTTATGCCAGTATTTAATACTAGCAGATTGACAGTGCAATTTAGTTTACCTTCACCCTATTTTTTTAAAAAATATTTTTAGATTTATCACAATGTTTTACACAAGATAGTTTTTAATATGGTTTATTTCTAACTTAGAGATTTGATTTATGTCCTATGTAGAGATTTTTTTATCTCACTCATTTTTATTTATTTCATTGTATTACCATTCTTATTTTTATTCTTTGATTAATTTTGATTTCTATTTTTTTTTCTTTTTTTTAATTCATTCTTACATGGCTATTCAATCCTGTTATTGAGTCCTGTGGGACTATTTTATACTCTTTAATACTTGCTTATTGTACACTTCATATATGATTATACGCATGATACACAGTGAGCACTATGATGTGTGTTTTCTATTTTTAGTCAATACTGATCTAGTATTGGATGCCGTATTTCAGTCAATTATTTATTTGGGAAATCAGCTATTCCTATGTACTGTACTGCAGCCTGTACACATCACTTTTATTCTGCCTCTAGAAATACTACATAGAAAATTTCCCTTTGCCTTTAAGGAATACTCTAAGCACCATAACCAGTACAACACTGTGTAGCAGTTTAAATGCAAGGGGTGCCCTACTACCGTTCAACGCTGAGATGTCAATCAATTTTAGCAACCAACAGGAGAAGTCAGTTTTTAGCTGATGCAAGACCTTGCTCATTAGCTGTAAGATGCAGCAGATGTGGCTTGGGTGTGGGACCCAGGTAAGCTGTATAACTGTACTAAACTAGTTTGATATCAGTACTCCTTTAAATTATGGTGCTTGGAGTGTTCCTTTAAATTATTCTCTCTTCCTTGTATAGATATCATAGAGAAGCATTTGATTCAATGCTTTGTATATGACAACCCACAGGGGGCCTGTTGGTGGTTTGGAATTCAAGTGCAGCAGAATAGCACTTCCCTACAAGCACGTTAATGTGGAAAATTCTTTGAGGTGCAGAAAGGGTTCTGATGGGTGTGTGGTGACACAGGGGTGTTACTAGCACTACGGATACGAGGCAGTGTATCCTATAGGATCAAAGGCGAAATACGAAGTCAGGTCCAAATAGCAGGGCATGCAAGAGTCAGGAAGCAAGCTGAAGTCAGAACCAGGAATGATAAACCAGTAGGGGGCAGGACAGGAATAGGCAATTCACAAAAATGCAGTGTCAAAACTAAACAATTAAAGTGATGTACATACTCACAATGCATATACTACACTGCTCAAAAAAATAAAGGGAACACAAAAATAACACATCCTAGATCTGAATGAATTAAATATTCTTCTGAAATACTTTGTTCTTTATATAGTTGAATGTGCTGACAACAAAATCACACAAAAATTAAAAAATGGAAATCACATTTTTCAACCCATGGAGGTCTGGATTTGGAGTCACACTCAAACTTAAAGTGGAAAAACACACTACCGGCTGATCCAACTTTGATATAATGTCCTTAAAACAAGTCAGAATGAGGCTCAGTAGTGTGTGTGGCCTCCACGTGCCTGTATGACCTCCCTACAATGCCTGTGCATGCTCCTGATGAGGTGGCGGATGGTCTCCTGAGGGATCTCCTCCCAGACCTGGACTAAAGCATTTGCCAACTCCTGGACAGTCTGTGGTGCAACGAGTTAGTGGATGGAGCGAGACATGATGTCCCAGATGTGCTCAATTGGATTCAGGTCTGTAGAAAGGGCGGGCCAGTTCATAGCATCAATGCCTTCGTCTTACAGGAACTGCTGACACACTCCAGCCACATGAGGTCTAGCATTGTCTTGCATTAGGAGGAACCCAGGGCCAACCGCACCAACATATGGTCTCACAAGTGGTCTGAGGATCTCATCTCGGTACCTAATGGCAGTCAGGCTACCTCTGGCGAGCACATGAAGGGCTGTGCGGCCCCCCAAAGAAATGCCACCCCACACCATTACTGACCCACTCCCAAACCGGTCATGCTGGAGGATGTTGCAGGCAGCAGAACGTTCTCCACGGTGTCTCCAGACTCTGTCACGTCTGTCACATGTGCTCAGTATGAACCTGCTTTCATCTGTGAAGAGCACAGGGCACCAGTGGCGAATTTGCCAATCTTGGTGTTCTCTGGCAAATGCCAAACGTCTTGCACGGTGTTGGGCTGCAAGCACAACCCCCACCTGTTGTCGTTGGGCCCTCATACCACCCTAATGGAGTCTGTTTCTGACTGTTTGAGCAGACAAATGCACATTTGTGGCCTGCTAGAGGTCATTTTTCAGGGCTCTGGCAGTGCTCCTCCTGTTCCTCTTTGCACAAAGGCGGAGGTAGCGGTCCTGCTGCTGGGTTGTTGCCCTCCTACGGCCTCCTCCACGTCTCCTGATGTACTGGCCTGTCTCCTGGTAGCGCCTCCATGCTCTGGACACTACGCTGACAGACACAGCAAACTTTCTTGCCACAGCTCGCATTGATGTGCCATCCTGGATGAGCTGCACTACCTGAGCCACTTGTGTGGGTTGTAGACTCTGTCTCATGCTACCACTAGAGTGAAAGCACTGCCAGCATTCAAAAGTGACCAAAACATCAGCCAGGAAGCATAGGAACTGAGAAGTGGTCTGTGGTCACCACCTGCAGAACCACTCCTTTATTGGGGCTGTCTTGCTAAATGCCTATAATTTCTACCTGTTGTCTAACCCATTTGCACAACAGCACGTGAAATTGATTGTCACTCAGTGTTGCTTCCTAAGTGGACAGTTTGATTTCACAGAAGTGTGATTGACTTGGAGTTACATTGTGTTGTTTAAGTGTTCCCTTTATTTTTTTGAGCAGTGTATTTCTGCTCTATGAAAATAAATTCTAATAA